GATTTTTTTCAATATCGGAGCATATGGGCTGTCAGTCGTACCTTGGAAGAAAATAAGGGCCATCCTTGAAAATTTGAGCAGCATCGTGATTGCTTGCGTCACGCAAGGGTAGCCCAGCTAAAAACCGACAAAGATGATCCGGCATGATGTCGCTTCCGGGCCGCTGCAGGGTAAGGAGGTTGAGGCACAATCGAAATCATGGTCAAACACGTCATGTCTCTCTTTACCTCGTGCTGTGGCGTCCAACGGTTTATCCGGAGTTGTCTCTGGCAACCTGATCGTGGGCAGAGATGGCAAACTGGCCGCGGCTGGCAGTTCCAGTCGTCGTCTGCAAGGTGGGGTGGGGGTAGGTCCGAATGGTGACCTGGGCCATCGCGGCTGGCTCAACTACACAGTGGAGCTCCGTGTCAACGCATCGGCATGGTGCCGCGAGGTTGCACAGCTATAGTAGATCCGACAGTGCTTGCGAAGTCGGGTGTCTTCGTCAGGTAGCTGGAAAAGTGAAGTGCCACGTGAAAGCGAGCTGTCGGCCGTGGGTCCTCGTTTCCCTGGTCTCTGCTAGGTGCCTGCTGATGATCAGGCCCCCCCTCCAGAGCCCGAAGAAGGAGCCTGGCCGAGCTGCTCTGCGGCTGGACATGTCTATCCGTGCTAGACCCTGGACGACCGTTGCAACGCGGTTTGCAGAAGATGCGGCGGCTCGTTGAGCGCCGTTCGCGCGTAGCAACTGCGCCATCCACAGCAGTGTCCGGCAAGGCCAACATCCAGCCTGTCTCAACCGGCAGTGTCAGTCCACCAAGCGGGTGGCCCCGTGTGAACGAGAATCCGAGCACGCGCGTGGAGTAGCCAGGCGCCGGCGCTAACATTGTGGCATGTGTCACGCATTCAGAAACAGTGACAAAAACCGGGATGGTCCATATGAGGATATATGCGTCCGCTAAAAGGCAGTGCCTTCATCGAGGATGTTGAGCTCATGGACCCTGTCCTGCACTTCTCTGAGGCTAGGCGTGAGCCGTCCCGGGATAGGCTCGTAATGAGGCCCAATAATGAGGTAGACAGGCTGATGTTCTGCGTCAGCCGTGCCAAAGACTGCTCGGCGCTCAACGTTGCCTCGAAAAACCTGGTGAGCGCCGCCTGTGTCTAAGCATGCCATTCGGCGAAGTGCGCTGTCGGGGGCCTATAGTCCTCGGCATTCGCATAGGCAGCGAAATGTGTAGTTCTCTCATCAAGTTATGGCCGGAACCACTGTGCGACTCTCGGGGTTGCTGACAAGCTGAACCAAAGGCTCCATTGCAGAGGGGCCTGTTCTGGGCATTTTGGGGTATGCCGTTGGTCATGACTAACATGCTGCGGTTTGCCTGCGCCGCGGTCACTATGTCACAGTGGTGCCGCAGCCAGTGAGAACAAAAGCCACCATTGTGCTCCCCTTTTCCAGGGTGTTGGTGCCGGTGGTGGTCATTGTATTCATTCTCTTGCAGTCCGGTCTGCAGGTCAGTTGTCAATCACGCCCTGTCCGCTTTACGGGCCAGCCATTGCAGAGTATCAAGCTGGGGGAGGGTGTCCCATACTTTACCAGTCACATCCTGAAAATAAAGGGCCTGCTGGTGAGCAGCCGGCAGGGCCGCAAGTGGACACCACAAGACCGCACTGCAGCGGCGATGACCTGCTCGGCTGCGGCGCCAGGTGCTATCACCACACAGCAATTTTTCCCCCCCAAACCGCGTAAGTCAATAGGGATCACGTGGTGCACGGCAGGTGTCGCCATGGGCGTGAGCACAATCTGACATTCAACAGAACCAGGGATTGGGGCATGAGGAGCTGGTTTGCACAGCGTCGGCGAAGTAGTCCATCAAGGACCAATCAATCATTTGCCCGGTGAAGATGAAATAACCTGTCGAGACAAGCTGCTTAATCCCCGGTTTTCATCAACCATGGTGCTGAGGATCTAAAGCTGTTCTATCGGAACTTCAGAAAGTGGAAACACAGTAAGCTCGTGCGGAGTAAGCTGCGCTGCCTGCGCACGCATGTGCCCGATTGCGGTGGGCCTGAGTGGCCCGAAGCTTCCTAACAACCCTGGCAACGCCTGGGTGGGCGAGGGCTGGCGGTGTGCTGGCTCCAGCTGGTTTGGCCGCGCATAGGCCTTGGGGGGCCGGACTGCGTCGAGCTACCACATGGGTGCTGCGGCAAGCTCTCCGTGGCGACCTGGGCAGGGGGCCAGAAACAGTGGATCCTGAGCAGGGCTCAACGTGGAACCGCGCTTGGACTCAGGAGAACAGGATGTCAAACAGATTCCCAAGCTGTATCTCGTGACCGAGCAAGGTTCGACATGGAACCGGCCTTGGGCTCGGTAGTTTGCAATGGAGGGAGGGAACGGGGAGGCTCAACTGACTCCCGATTTCTCGGAGGGAATGCCCGACTGAGCAAGGCTCGACACGGAACCGACCTTGGACTCAATGGACTCAGAGGGGACAACAGAACAAGTAGGCCACGCAACCTCCGAACGGGCGAGCAAGGAGGGCTTCACAGGCTGAGCAAGGTTCGACGTGGAACCGGCCTTGGACTCAGCGGGTTGGTGGAGGACAGCACAGGCAGGTTCCTCCACATTGAAAGTAAAAACTACAACGGTCTGTACAGGCTTCCCCGGCTTCCCTTTCTGTACAAACTCTCAGACAGCAGCACTCGCGGTAAATGAGTCAGCCCAATGGAAAAGCAGCCAGCAGTGAACCTGCTGTTGCATCGGTACTCGCAACATGCGCTCTGTCCATGCGACAGTGCTCCTCCCGAAAAACAGCAGCGATCACCGGATGGCCCCCAATTGTTCCGAGGGACTCATATGTGGAGGCCCCCATGGCCTCATGCATGATGGTGGCAGTGCGGCAGCCAGGCCTCGAAGTCGGGTCGTTCATCCGGTCCGAGCCTCAGGAGTCTCGGGTCGCACCAGACAGTGTTGCAGTCCTTGTGAGGACAGCAGTATACATCGTAAGTCAACTGCACCCCCATCATCTCTGCCGGTCCTTCATCCACAAAGTCCGGCTCGTCGAAGATCGAGTGCTCATAGTAGGCTCGCTCAGAGAGCAAGCTTGTGATAGGCTCCCCACCTCCAAAGACTAAGAGGCAACGTGAGGAGCTTAGCAAAAATGTTTTCCACCAGGCGCTGGGCCCTTCCCTCGTCTCGGCCTTGGCGTTCTCCGAAGCCTCGTCTCTGACTCCTGAGAGGAGCTGCGCCAGCTGTTGCTGCCTGTCCACCATCCGCTGCTGCCGGACTTCGATCTAGCGGACTCCTGTGCTGCCTGATCTATCTCGGCGTCCATGGCAGCTTCGTCCGCATCGGATTCCAGGTCGATCACCGGCTCCGACTTGGTGGCCATCTTCAAGGCCTTCGTATCCTCCGTCAGTCTTTCCACCCAAGCCGCCTGTGTCTCGTCCAGCTTTGTCAAGGTGTCCTCGCGCTTCATGAGGAGGTCCAAGAGGGACTGTGTGTAGAGCGCCCAGCCAGTCGCAAGCCAGGCCAGCCACTGCCTTCCGAACAGTGGGGAACAAACCAGATCTCGCCTCCCGCCCGAGTACAGCGAGCCGGTTCGCGGGTTGCGTCGGCACCACGCTTGAGGTCTCCCGAAGTGGATCTCCTACGAGAAAATTACACTTCTCGCTGAGGGCCAGACGCCTGATTTAAGGGCCTGGGGTTTAGAGTTTAGAGCCAATCTGTACTGATTCTTGGACTTTCCACTAGCCTAGGACTCCAGGATCTTAAGCTAAACTATTACGGGTTTTCAGACACTTACTCGCGAGGCGGCCATGGGGCATGTGCACTGCAGCCCCTCCTCAAAAGAAAAACAAGTAAGGGTGCGACGCGTTCTGCAAATTTAAGGGTCATTACATAGAACAAGGATCCTGCTATTCAGGACCCAATCAAAGGCAGGTCCCTTGGAATCTGGAGCTGCCACAGTAGTTTTTCGCCAGCTGCTCGCCAGGACTTGGCCGTTTCGATGCGGCTGCAAGGCGAGTCATGGCAACTTTGCCGGTCATCAACGACAACATCTCAGGCAGCCCGGTTTCTGTGTTTGAGCTCCAGGGCATGAGCGGCATTGCAGTGGTCAGCTCGACGGGAATGTGAATTTCCGTAGTCTCGCTTTCCAGCTCCCGCCACGGGCCTGTCTTGAGGCCAGCGCCGGCAAGAAAGGGCTCTGAGAGGATTCAAGCTGGCCAGCCAGGATGACGAGAGACCTGACATGCTTCAGACGGGTTACCACGTTGAGGGGAGTACAGGTTTTGGAACGCTTGGGCCCTGAAAGTTCCCAAAATTAACCTGTACTCCCCCGCGCCCCCCCGGGCAATGCAGGGGACTACAGAAATTGTGCTGTCTTTGTATGGCGGGAAGGTACCCTACACCTTCGTTACTTCTTAGGAGAAGCAAACAATAAGCAGGCTTGCGGGTGCCGGCCCGGGGAAGCGGGGGAGTACAGGTTTT